GAAAATTCCTCACTGTACCAAAGACTAGAAGTCCAAGGTCAAATGTCAGCAAGTTTTGTTTCTTAATGTCCTAACAAAATTCCAGCCTGAATGGATTAGGGCCACCTTAATGGCCTCATTTTAATTTAGAACTTTTAAAGAGGTAACAATTTCCAAGTACAGTCCTATTCTGAGGTACTGGGGATTAGGGCTTCTATATATGACTTTTGCAGAAACAATACAGCTCATAACAGTCATTTCCTTCTTATCAATCTAGGTGTTTAAGGAAGGTATGTGGGACAGCAATATGATTAAGTTGACCTGATCTTGATTTGTCCAGGACAGCTCCATTTTACTATTATCCTTACTTAATTTAAAAAGTGCCCCCTTTCATGGTCAAAGTGTCTCATTTGGAAAATAAATAATAAGATGGATCCTGATAAAAGAGGTTCAAGAGCCAGAGGGCATACACTTCAGTCTTGGCTCAAAAAAATCTCATGCTATGCCTAGGTTTCCTCCACCATGGAGATCATAATAGAACCTGCATCACAGAGTTATTGTGAGGATTAATTGCATTAGGATGCCTAAGTCATTCAGAACACTGTCCTGGGTGTAGTAAGCATGGAATGTAACCCTGAGTAAGCAGAAGGAGGAGGATTGTATTTGTCAGGTGTGATGGTTAATTTTATGTATCAATTTAGATGGCTCTGGTGCCCAGCCCTTGGAAGGTTTAAGAGTGTTTTGGGCTGAGATTTACATTTAGATTAGAAGACTTTGAGTAAAGCATTTTGTTCTCCAATAGGTGGGTGGGCTTCCTCCAATCAGTTGCAGGCCTGCATAGAACAAAAGGCTACCCTACCCCAAGCAATAAACGATTTTCCAACAGACTGCCTTTGAAATTAAACTGAAACTCTTTCCTGAGTCTTCGGCCTTCTGGCCTTCCCCATTAGATAGATTTTGAACTCCCCAAGCCTCCATAATTGCATGACCTAAATCCTTTAAATAAATTTATTTCTATATATAAACACATATCCTATTGGTTCTGTTTCTCTGGGGGACCCTGCTTAATACAGTATGTGTGGAAACCAAAGCTATACCTCAGGTATAGCTTTTAATTTTTAAGTTATTTTACTTCTGGATTATTTCTGGATTTTCTCTGTCCTGTATTCACTATGCTCTTAACATGTCTGTATACATACTAATAAAGATCTGTGACAAGACTGCTAGAATACATAGGCACTTGTTTATTAGCCTCTCTTAAAGAAATGCTTAAATTTTGCATACAATACTAATACTCTACATCTGGGAGATTTTTTGTCTTTTTCAGGAGGTGCGTAGTGTACCTAATAAATGTTTGGAATAAAATAATCCTAGGTTTTAGTAAAATGAAGGTTGATTAAAAAAAATTGAATCACCAAGCAAACAAGCAAATATATTGGCAGGAGTCCTGGCAAATCAACCATATGAGAAAAGTTAAACAACTTGGAACAGCAAATAAAGGCTTGAGGAACAACCAAGTAGCAGCTATCAAATCTAAAAAGGGTGACTAAGAGGATGGATACCAGCTGTCCTATAGCTCCACTGAGCCCAGACAAAAACAGAAATAGATAAAAACTTCACTATGACAGACCATTTGACCTAGGCTCCTGGCAGTTAACATGGTTGGAATGGTTACTTAGCATGTTCCAGAATATAGTTAAAGGATTCTTTAAAATTGGTTAAGTTTGCTTTTTCTGGGTGTGATGCTAAGTGGCAAATTCAGATCCTGGACTTTCAATGAAGTTAATCAGAATCACTAACAGGAGGGGAGTTATAAAAACCATAGACTCCCTTTCTATGAAGTGTTAGGAAATGGTTTCTAGGAGATACTGGTGAGAATAAAAGCAAGGTGCAAAAGGGAATGCGTAATATTCTACCTTTGATATGCAAGAAAAAAGGGAAATAAGAGTGTATATTTTGGTTTCTTTTTCCAAAAAAGAAAAATATTCTGATGAAAGCAGTTAATCATTTAGAGGTGTGGTAGTGGATAGGAATGTAATTTCTGTATATTTTTTGTATTAGTTTCCCACTGCTAGTATAATAAAGTGCCACAAATATAATGGCTTAAAACAATCTTTATTTTAGAGTTCTGGAGGTCATGAGTCAAATATAGATCTCACTGGGCTAAAATCAAGGTGTCAGCAAGGCTTCATTTATTCTTGAAAGCTCTAGGGGATAATCTGTTTCCTTGCTAGTTTCTCGAGGCCACCTGCATCCCTTGGCTCATGGCCCTTCTCTCATCTTCAAAATCCAGCAATATAACATCTCTGTCTGAATCTAACCCTTCTGCCTAGCCCATCTGCATTTATGGGTTTTTATGATTACATTTCAGTTCATGGAATGTTACAGGATAGTCTCGTTATCTTACTATCCACTGATTAATCAGCAACCTTAAGTCCATCTGTAACCTTAATCCTCTTTGCTCTGTAGCGTTGTGTAGTGATACCTTCTAGGGATTAGGATGTGGACATGTTTGGAGTGTGTGTTAGAGGGGGCATTCTGCCTACCTTACCTTTTAAGAATAATTTTGACTTTTTAACCATGCAAATCTTTATATATTCAAAAATAACATTTAATCAAAAAGGATAACAAAAGCCCACTAAAACTGAATACAAATAGAAACAAACCTAACAGTACTTAATACAGCTACACTGTGGAGGAGGATAAGGACAAATTCCAATAAATATACCCTTAAATGAGATGTATTTTAAGGATTAAAATAGTTGCAAAGAAACTTTGATGTTTACTCAGTAAATTTGTGTTTGGGAGCCAGAGTGCTAACTCTAGAAGAAGAGAGAGAGAAATATGGAATGAGGGAAGGTAAGGGAAAACCCTCCTTAATGAGATGTCTGATTTCAGGCTGGACAGGTATAAAGTATAAGTAAGCCTGCAACATCGAGTTGGTACCAAAAAGTAAGGAAGTGCTCAGGGACTGATGGAGACCTGTCCAAGTTTAACCAAGAACTCATAAGAGATTATGAAATAAAGAAGAAATATTTGATATTAAAGAGGCATTTGGGGTTGGAAGGGGAATCACTTTAGAGAAGAATGACAGCTAGTAAATATAAAGGGAATAATAAATTTGGAAATTCACTATTGTAATCATCAATGTAATAACTGATTCAGGGAGGATCATCGATGGATGTTAAAATCATTAGATGGTTTAGAAACCAGCTTCCTTGAGAGACAGTAAAATGATTAGATGAAATGTTGACACAGGATAGTTACATATTTCAAAATATCATAACACAGATTAGTTATTATAAAAGGAAAACAATTTGTTTACAGAGGAGAAATCTGTTCAATATCACTTTAATCAAGTGATCAAACTTCACATCACAAGAATGGGACACATATTTTGTGCCTTCTGATATGACAGAGTAGGAAGAATGCATTATCAAGTACATTGTGTTCTTGCCAAGAACATTTAACTTGAATCTTTTCAGGAGGGGAAAAATCAAGCAATTATAAATGTGGGCCATCTTACAAGGCAACAGGCCTAAACAAAAATAATGACAATTATGATGCAATTTTTGATCCTTAATTAAGAATTTAAAAAACAGCTATAAAAGGCATTGGGGCAATTGGAAAATTCTGAATATTGGCTATATATATTGTATTGTTAATAACTTACAATGTATTTATGTAGGAAAGAGTCTTAGAGGTGTAAATTCGGAATGTCAGCAAATTTCAATGGTTCATTAGAAAAGTATATGTATACAGACAGGCATCCAAGGAGAAAGTAACAAAATAAAAATAGTGAATTTGGATGAATAGAGCTTGCTCTATTTTTTCCCCACCACATTTTCAAATTTTCTGTAGATTTGATTTTCAAAGTAATATTCTTTATTGGGCCCCTGGGCTTCTTGATAGCCTTTGGGCTTATTTGTATTCCAAGTTGTTGTGAAGTGTGTTTGTTTTTCAAAAAAAAAAGTGTGTTTCTAGTTATCTTTTTAGAGTCCCTCACTTGACATCCAGTTCTTTAACTCTCTGTGCAATGCGATTTCTTGCATGCATATGCTAGTAAATAGAACTTCAATGAAAGCACTTGTCTGTTAATCTCTATGGAGCTCCCATTTATAGGAAAAACATTTGAAAATAAAAAGTGGACCCATAGTATCTGGTTAAGTGTACTTTGTAAGTAAGTTTTTAAATACTATTAACATTACCTAATAGTAACAACAATAGCATCAACAACAAAAGACAGGTTTGCTGGCATTCTTCTGCTCACTGCAGCTGATGACCCTAAAATGTCTTTAAGGGCTCGCTCCTTTTCAGGGCTCAGCCTTAGTGTCTCTCTAGTTTCCTTCTCCTAAATGGGCACATATCTGCTGAGGAGGGGTTCTTCGCCATCTGTCATCTTTATACTTGATTCTTTTTCCTTGCTTCCTATCCCCCATTGCTGGCTTTCCCTTAGTTTTCCACCTCCCTCTGTGATCACCAGTTCCCTGTTGCTCCATGTAGTTTCCAAGGAAGGCCTTTAGTCTTACATCAAACTCTTGCTGCTCAGTCAGTAGGTGGGACAATACTTTTTTTCATGTCTCTGATTTATCTACAAAGTAAAGTCTCTCTAAAATACTAGTAACTCCATAGGAAATTCCAAGAATGAAAACCAGACTTATGCTCCTTGGGTATATACAAACTGAGGATGGGGGTTAGGGTTGCAGACCCTGGGGTTGGACAGCTCAGCCCTGAAGCCAGCCTCCACCAACTGGTTGCTGTAGGACTTTTGGCAAGTTCTTTAACCAACCCGACTTTAGTTTTCTCATATGCAAAATGGGCGTAATACCTACTTCAAATGGTTGTAAGGATTTAAAGGCATTTAGGTATATAAAGCACCTAGAAATGTGCCATATAAATGTTTACTATTTTTAATCATCATCTTTCCAAGGAATTTCAGACCTGGATCGAATTCTGTCTTTAAGATATTAATGATAATTCTGATAAAATAATTTCTTGCTTTGTGTCTTTCATGGGTTTAGGTTTCCCTAGGACTTCTACATGCCCATGCTACACACATCCTGTGGCCTCCAGAGCGCTGGCAGAAATTGGAATCTGCTCTTCCTCCAGAGCGCCTGCCAGTTCAGAGAGAAGAGGAATGATGGCATGGAGCTCCCTCAGCTGCTGGCATTGGGAGGCCCCCACCACCCATTGCAGAAGGGTGGAGAGGAGGAGCCTTTAGAAGGGCAAAAAATGATCCGCATTATTAAAGAGTTTTAAAATATTACATAGTATTAAATAGCAACTGATTTTGTGTTCAATTGTAATACTCTATTGTTTAATGCCAAAAAAATTGCAGACCTTTGGGAATATGAAAACTTTATTCCCATGTCTTACAGGGAATTTGTTACATATACTTATTCCATCGATTGTTGGTTTTTAGTGCTTGGCTGAAAGAGTATGAAAATTAACATTTGATGAAAATAATTCAGTAATGTCATTTACTCTTGAGAGAACATGAAGAAACATAGTGATGGGAATTATATTGCAATTGACAGTATATACAATGCAGTGACTCCTGGTTAAGAAGAACAGTACACCGTGATGTAAAAATAAAACAGTGATTTGCTCAGGTACTGTTTTGGGTATTTATCCTTTAACCTGTACCTCCATTAATAAGGAATATATTTTTTTTTTTTAAGCAAGGAATTAAACTAAGGAGAACCAATTCCATTAATACTTCCATACAATTAAACCTTTCTTATTAGCCCTTTTAAATCAAAACTTCTGAGCTATCTCTTGCCTGCCTCTTCACATTGATGAATGAAACTAAACTATTTATCAGTATTCAGTCACTATTTGGTAAAATGTTCCGAGTGAAATGAAAAAAAGTCAGTCCTCCTTGACCAAGTTTGATTCCCCCCCAATGATTTTCAGTGTTTACATCTGTAAATACTGAAATCACCGATTGCAAAGTGGGATAATCACATAATCCTGTAACTGCAGAGGAAAGGAGGTAAATTCCTTCATACAAGTCAAGTCTATATTTAATCTTGCAAATATGGATGCAAACTTCCTTAGTGGTCAGGAATGCAAAAAGAGTGAAAAGCCATATGCATATTAACAGCAGCTGTTACTAATAATTAGCATTATAGTAGCTCATTCAACAAATATCAGTGAGTACTTATGTACTAAGGTTATGTACAATCAAAAGTATTGTTTTTAAAAGTGGATTGGCTTAAAATCTTTTGTTGAACCCTTTTCAATTACATTTCTCTCTATTCCCCAACTTGTATTTCATGCTCTGTCCTTTAACTCCAGTTTACTGAATACTCATTACTATTTCAAGGTTTATAACTTTTGTCTCTAGGCAAACTGCATCCTCTGAGATTATATGTAAAATACTGAGTGCATAAGGGCATTGACCCTTTAGTTGCTAGAAAATAGTAAATTCTGGGGCCCACAGAAGTGGGGTTTGGAGGTGATACTGAAGGCAGGCAGGGTAGAGCAAATAGAGCAGTTCTCGGAATAACTGCTATTTCCCACCTGGTGAAGAATTTGATATTTTAACAGTTCAGCAAACTGTTTATCCTCCTTGCCACCTCACTCACTACCTGTATGATTCCTATTAATTCAAGATTGTAAATCTTCAGAGAGAAGATAAAAGCTCTTTCTTTGATTTCATATTCTCTAGCCATCTAACACATCACCAGCAGAGTTAATACTTGTCAAACAACTCAGCTTATAAGTTACCTCCTCAAAAAAGCAACTCTAGGCCAACTTAGTCACTGTGTTGTCCAGTATATACTTTACTTTCCTAAGTGCATCAATCACCTATTATTAACCAATGGAGAAAGAATTCTTCCCCAGCTACCACCCCCAGGACACAGCAAGAGGCAACAGACCCGAGAGCCCAATCTTCCTGTGAAAAAGGGCTGTTAGCTTATCTTCAAATTAAACACACATCTCAGGGCTGACTGATCCTTTTCAGAGACCTCAGAGGGCAGGCATTATCTTTATACTTTTGGCCGTGTTCCAAAGTGCCAGTACCTCCCAGACAGAAGCCTATATGCATGTCTGGTGCCTTTTTTTTTTTTTTTTTTTTGGTGGCTGCTGCCCAGGAGAAACTTCTTGATCACATAGCTGTGGTAACAATCTGAAAGAGAGTTCTTGTCTGGCTACACCCCTAGGACACAACACAGGTAGCAGACTGAAACACACCACATTCTTTTGTTAAAGAGGCCTATTTGCTTGTCCTGGAGCTTTGGCCAGAGAGGCACACAGATGGTCTGGTACAGAGCTAGGGGCCTAAAGAGGTAGGAATGCCAGGGATAGAGGTCAGTGCACACCATCTTTGCACTCTCCCTCTGCCTCACTCCAGGGTTCCAGCAGCTCCCAGAAAGGAAATTATATGCTTGTCTGCTGCTCCATTTTTTTTATGACACCCAGGGGACACTTCTACATTGTTTGGCTGTTGTGGCCAGCAAGATTATACTTGTGGTCCCACAGAACTGTACACATTTGCATACTTCAAAAGCTGCTCCCTAAAGGTTTGGCTTCCAAAGAGCCTGAATCTAGGTGCTAAGATTTCCCCACCCCAGGAGCCATGACAGGTCTTGGCAGACCTTCAAATACGGGAAACCACCAGAAATAAAATAGGTTGCTTGGACAATCACAAAGGTTTGAGAGACAACCAAGAGCTAGAGAAGGGTAGGATGGTAAGGTTCATCTCCTAAACAGGTCTCTCCAAGACTGGGAGGGATGGCAGCTAATGCATAGAAACCAACAGAGAGTCATGAATATGAAGAAACAGGAATATGTTCCAAATGAAAAAACAAGATAAAAATCTCATAAAAAGTCCTGGATGAAAGAGATTGATTGATTTGTTAAAAGTTGAAAATAACAGTCATAAAGATGCTCACTGAACTCAGGAGAATGCATGAACAACTGAGGATTCAACAAAGAGAAAATAAAATATAATGACAGAAGTCACAGAGCTTAAGAATCCAATAAGTGAACTGAAAAATAAACTAGAGGGTTTCAACAGCTGACTAGGTAAAGCAGAAGAAATAATGAAATCAAAGCCAAGGTCAAGGAACTCATCCAATCAGAACAGGAAAAAGAACAAAGAATTAAAAAAAAAAAAAGGAAAGCTTGTTTAAGGGACTTATGGGACAACATCCGATGGACTGATATTCATGTTATAGGGGTCCCAGAAGGAGAAGAGAGAGATGGGCAGAAAACTTATTTGAAGAATCAGTGCCTGAAAATTTCCTAACCCATGGAACAAAACAGAATTCCAGATCCAGGAATCTCAGAGATCCAAAGAAGATGAATCCAAAAAGACCCTCACCAAGACACATATAATTAAAATGTCAAAGATGAAAAGAAAATCTTACAGGCAGCAAGAAAAAGCAACTTATTGCAAACAAGGAAATCCATAAGACCATCAGATTTTTCAGCAGAAACTTTGAATATATCATCTCATTCCCTCTGGCCTGCAAAGTGTTGAAAGAAAAATCCTTCAATCAAGAATCCTCTACTTGGCAAAGTTGTCATACAGAATTGAAGGGGAGAGAGTCTTCCAGTCAAGCAGCAGCTAAAGGAGTTCATCAAGACTAAACCAGACTTACAAAAAATGTTAAAGGGACTTATTCAAGCTGAAATAAAAGGGCACCCATTAGTAATGGGAAAATGGGAAAGTACAAATCCCATGGGTAAAGGTAAATATACAGTAAAATCCAGGAGTGCCTGCCTGGCTCAGTAGGAAGAACATGCAACTCAATTTTGGAGTCATGAATTTGAGCCCCATGTTCAGTGTAGAGATTACTTAAATAAAAAAAAAAAGATAAAATCCAGAATAATATTAGAAAAGGTGGTAGATTAATCACTTATAAAGCTAGTATGAGTGTTAAAAGACAATATGTTAGCTATAGTTACTTTTATTATTAATCAGTTAAGGAATACAAAAGATAAAAATGTAAAATGATGTAAAATATGACATTAAAACCATAAAACCTGGGGAGGGAAAAGTAAAAATGTAGGGCATTAGAATGTGTTTAAATATAAGTTGTTATATATAAGCCTCATGGTAACCACAAAGCAAAAACCTATAGTAGATACACCAAAGATGAAAAGAAAGTGTACCATTAAAGAAAATCATAAAATCTCAAAGGAAGGGAACAAGAGAAGAAAGCAACAAAGGAATTACAAAACATACAGAAAATAAAATGTCAGTAAGGACATTGCCTACCAGTAATTACTTTAAATGTAAATGGATTAAATTCTCCATCAAAAGACAGAGTAGCTTAATGGATTTTTAAAAATATTTTAGAGAAAGAGAAGAGCGAGCAAGAGTCGGGGGCGGGGTGCAAAAAGAGAGGGGAGAGAGAGTCCAAGCAGAGTCTGCACCGAGCATGGAGCCAATGAGGGGCTTGATCTCATGACCCCAAGATCATGACCTGAGCCAAAACCAAGGGTCCAATGTTCAACCAACTGTGCCACCCAGGCACCCCTGGATTTTTTTTTTTAAAGACCCATTTATAGGCTGCTTAGAAGAGACTCACTTCAGATTTTTTTTTTAAGATTTTATTTGACACAGAGAGAGAGACAGTAAGAGAGGGAACACAAGCAAGGGGAGAGGGAGAGGGAGAGGGAGAAGCACACCTCCCGACGAGCAGGGAGCCCGATGCGGGCCTCGATCCCAGGACCCTGGGATCATGACCTGAGCTGAAGGCAGACACCCAATGACTGAGCCCCCCAGGCGCCCCTCACTTCAGATTTAAGGACACACACCCACACACACAAAGTCAAGGGATGGAAAAATGTATTTCATGCATATGGAAATCAAGAGAAAGCCAGGGTTCCTATACATACTTTATACATACACACACACACACATAACTTAATAAGAGGCAAAGAAGGGCATTGCATAATAAAATAAATCAGAAATGAAAAAGCAGACCTACTCATAGTAGACTATTAGGAACAATTATATGCCACAATAATTGGACAACCTAAAGGAAACTGATAAATTCCTAACAACATACAGCCTACCAAGACTGAATTATGAATAGAAAATCTAAACACATCAATTACTAGCAAGGAGATGGAATCAATAATCAAAAATTCTCAACAAATAAAAGTCCAGGACCAGAAACCT